GATTGGATGGTTAGAATTCAGAGTGGGATTTCAGTTACAAAACCATTGGATACTTTTGGAGTTGCTTACACGGGCTAGAATAGCAGAAAACGCATTTACGGTAATTAAATTTTCAAATTTTTCTCCGGGAGGGTGAGGCCTCCATATACCGCGCGACGATTGATTGGTTGTTTGGAATTCGGGTCAGCCAGGTAGGCTATATTGGACCAAATTGAAGTTGCTGTATTCACAGACTGGAATAACAGGAAAACGCGTTTGCGGCAGTTACATTTTCAAAATTTTCTCCCAACGGTCCCGTCTTCGTTGACTGTAAACGATTGATTGGAATTCGAGTCAGCCACCTTAATAAGCCTATAATATATATTCGACCACTTTGAAGTTGCTCTGTTCACCGGCTGAAATAGCAGGAAAACGCGTTTGCGACAGTTATATTTTCAAAATTTTCTCCTAACGGTCCCGTCTTCGAGGACTGTAAACGATTGATTGGAATTCGAGTCAGCCACCTTAATTAGGCTATATTAGACCGCTTGAAGTTGCTTTGTTCACTGGCTGAAATATCGGGAAAACGCGTTTGCGGCAGTCAAATTTTCAAAATTTACTCCTAACGGTCCCGTCTTCGAGGACTGTAAACGATTGATTGGAATTCCGAGTCAGCCACCTTAATTAGGCTATATTAGACCACTTTGAAGTTGCTTTGTTCAACGGCTGCAATAGCAGGAAAACGTGTTTGCAGCCGTCAAATATTCCAAAATTGTCTTTGGGGGGGGGGGGGGGGTATACAAGGTCGCTGCTGTCTGTAAACCCGAAATTTTTTCGGGCATTTCGGGTTCTGCTCCCCCCCTAACTGTCATCGAGCCCCTACGCCTATGTGTGACAGGACTGAATTCCGCGTCACTCTATTGCAATTCTGTCAATTCTGGACGTTCCGGACTGTGAATCGAACATCCCCTAAGAGACCTCTCACTGAAATTGATCTTTGAAATTGAGGTCATGGCGAAAAATTCACTAGTGGAAAGGGGTAAGATATATTTGATAAGGCCAACTTCAAGTTTGGTCAAAGTCACGAGATGTAAACAAGGCTAGTGCTAATACCAGCCCTAACCATAATCCTGGACCTAGCCCTAATGCTTACACTAACCCTAACCTACAATCTCGCCAACAATCACGTGCCCTAACCTTTACATCACAGCGACCTTGACGAAAATTGAACTGGCCTGAACAAATAGATTTAGAAGTCGAAAGAAATGGCTAATGAAGACGGGCATGCGCTATACAGTGTGATATGAGGGGAATTTCGCCCGGACAGCGGCACTACGGCCCACTCTTATATCGAATTCCTACTGTCAAGGAATCTTTTACGTGCATGCCAATGTGAACACGGGAACTCGATTTTTTGTCCCATCCGAACGACTAGACAGCTTTCCTTGTCAGGCCCTCCGTCTTGCATCACTAACAAGGGGGAACCACGCCGGAAAATCTGAATGAACTTTCTCAGCCAGTGCAGGGATCGAACACCCGACCTCCAGACTAGCGAGCCAGCGTCTTACCCACTTAGCCCCCCCCCCCCGTCGAAAGAGATGGCGACATAGGAACATGACATATGCACAGAGGAACGTCCTGGAGCAGGTTTCATTCGGAGGGGGCCCTGTCATAATATGGGGATCCCTTTCATATGATTGTCAGCTTCAACAGGTAACAGTTGGATGTAATCTACATGGCCAAATGTACCTAAGAAAGATCCTTGACAGGATTATAGGGACCAACTTTAACAATCAACATGTTCTCACAAGGACAATCTTTATGCACGACAAGACTAGACCGTACCATGTCGTTGATTTTCTGCTGTGTCAGGAGGCCGTTGCTACACTACCTTGACTTACCAGAATCCATGACCCGAATCCAATTAAGCATATTATAATAATAATAATAATAATAAAAACTTTATTTAATGAGGCAACGTATTTAGTTTGCAAAAAAAAAACAACTAATCTTCCATAGGTCGCTCCGAAACTACAAAGACAAATATACATGTAATATCAGGATAAATTTAAAATCATTAGAAATGCAATAGCATTTTAAAGTGGGAAGTTTGATAAGTCACTCCCAAACTACAAAACATATACATTATACAAGTAGAATATAGGAAGAACACTATAATTACACACAAAATAAAATAGAATGCAGTTGCAAGTTAAAAATAATAAGTATGTCATCAGTTGAATATTATGGTTCCTTCAGTGTGCAAAATAAATGAGTTTTCAGTTTAATCTTAAAATTTTCAACATTTTTACACATCTTTATATCAAAAGGCAGATTGTTCCATAAAAGACATGCAGAATAATGAAAAGTACGTTTCATGGATTCCGTTTTGCATTTTTGAAGAAAAAGAGATTTACTGGTCTGTGAACGGAGCAAGATATCCGTTTTGGAAACAAGAGATTTTTCAATAAAATGGAAATTTAGATAAAGTGGAGTATTAAATGTAATAATTTTGAATGATAAGACAATTTTATTGTAAAGAATCCTCTCTGTAAGGGTAAGCCAACCGAGTTTAGTAAATAAAGAGGTGGACGGAGTTTCAATCGGTGCATCAAGAATAGCTCTTGCTGCCCTCTTTTGTAATTTTAAAAGAATGTCTAATCTACTTTTGGTAGCATTTCCCCAAATAATAGAGCAATAATCAAATATTGGTAGTATGTAACTGTTATAAAACAAAATTCTTGTCTCGTAAGGTAAATGATCTTTTATCTTATTTAGGAGAAATATTTTTGATGCAAGTTTTTTTAGACATATCTGCTATCTGTGCTTCCCAATTAAGGTCTTGGTCAATTTGAATTCCAAGTAATTTTGCGGTAGTAACCGTCTCAATTTTCTCACCATGGAGTGATAAAGTTAGGTTTTTCTGATTTCTTTTGTGTTTTGTTGAAATCAGCATTGATTTTGTTTTCGAAGGATTGATTACCATCCCATTGTTTTCACACCATTCAGCAACCAAATAGAGATCATTTTGGAGATTTTTGGCAATGGATAAAATATCTTTGTGTGAACAATGCAGGGTACTGTCATCAGCAAACAAATCTATCTGACTTGATTCAATATTGAGTGGGAGATCATTTATAAAAATTAGGAATAGGAGAGGACCCAGGATCGAACCTTGTGGAACCCCGCATTTGACTGTAGTAATTGAGGAGGTAATTGATCCTAAACATACTTTTTGCTTCCGTGAGTCAAGATATGATTCAATCACAATTTGTGAATTATAATCAAATCGATAAAGATGTAGTTTTTCAATAATAAGCTTATGATCAATGAGATCAAATGCTTTGCTAAAATCAAGATACACTATACCACTCATCGCACCATTATCGATAGCATCAAGCCAATTATCTGTCATTCGGATCAGTGCAGTAGCACATGAATGATTTGATCTAAATCCAGATTGGTAAGCATAAAGAACATTGAAGGTTTCCAAATAAGTTTGAATTTGAGTGCTCAAGTGCCTTTCGAATATTTTTGAAATTGTGGGGAGAATTGAGATTGGCCTATAATTGTTCGGATCATCTTTAGCTCCCTTCTTATGTATAGGAATAATTTTAGCCAGTTTAAGGGCACTGGGGAACATGTTTTGAGAAATACAAAGATTAATGATATATGTCAAACTGCTACAAATTGTATACGCAGACAATTTTAAAATTTTGGGTCCAATACCATCACACCCAATGGCTTTGTTACTATTTAAACTCAATAAATGTTTTAATACCTCTGTGGTAGTAATACAATTAATAGAAAAGTTGTTATTTGGGGGAATCTTATCATTTACGTAATCTGATATCTTTCGTTTGCACTCTTGAGAAAGTGGTGTATAGGGGGGCTTAATGTCATCAGTTAAATTAGTGAAGTAATCATTCATCACATTAGCAATAGCATTTAGATCATTAACTGTTGTTTTTCCATATTTAATACTATTGGGATAAGGGCAATTATTGGGTTTATTCTGTATGTCACTAAAATATCTCCATATGTTTTTAGATTGCTCTTCATTTTCGATAGAGTCCTTGATAAAGTTTTTTTGGCTTTATTAATGAGATTTTTGGTTTTATTTCTCCATATTCTATAGTCGTCACACCTTGATAAAGTTTTTTTGGCTTTATTAATGAGATTTTTGGTTTTATTTCTCCATATTCTATAGTCGTCACACCTCTTGGAGGCTTTAAAGAAGTCCCTGAACTTTCGGGCTTTATTTATTTCCTCATTAAACCACTTCGGTTGATAGTATCTTTTTACTCTTTTTCGCTTTTGCGGAGCATGGCAGTCTAAAACACATATAAAAAGGTTATACCAAGTATCAAGGGCAGAATTTGGGTCATCAATTGACTCGACTAGTTCAAATGGAATTTTAGCAAGATCATTAATAAAATTAGAATCATCAAAGTTTTTGTAATTTCTGTATAGAATTTCCAAGTGGTTGTGTTTGGCCAAAGGGATCCACCAATGTGACAATTAGTGTCAGATGGTTACTGATGTGTGATTACCGTTTAGCGCATGCGCAGGTGTAGGAGTTATGCGTGGACACGCTGTGCATTGACTCCCAGTGACAGGATTTCCCATAAGATTATCTTACGGTAAAATCGGTTTCTACACTATTATCTACCAATACTTACAGTATTACTATCAGCAGAGGATGTCGAGTTTCTATTGTTTGTTTATTTTGATAAAAAGTAGAAACACAAATTGACGATCTTTATTATCATTCAGTATATTCCCGTCCACAATGCGAAAATTTAATGCAAGATAATTGTCCCTTGTGCAATCTGCATGCATGCTTGAACCCAAATTTACAAGGAGTATTTATTACAACTTTCTTATCCTTGTGTGTAATGGGGTGATAAATATATATTCATGTTCAAGAAACGGGTGTTTTCAGATTTAGTTTAAGATTTAGATCCAATGGTTTGCATGGCAAAGAATTTGTATTTGAGTAATAAAATACATAGGCTATATTGTGAAGTTGTAATAATTTTAATAAGAAGTACAAAATTAAAATAACAATGATACACAGAAATCCCAATCATCTAAAAGCCAATATTCAATCTGCAAAATAGTTAATTAATAGTTAAAACAACAAAAAGTGTAATGACTAATCACTAAAAAACAACGGCAACAAATCACGAACGATAGAAGTATCAATTTCAAGCCAATGAATTTAGATCCGTTGATCGTGTAACTACTGATCTCTAAAACAACAGCTAATCACGATAACAAATATGTTTATTAATGACAAAACTCTAACCAAATACGTAATACTTTTCAGTGATCTGGAACCATCTCACACCGCCGGAAGTAGATATAGCTTCGATGTTAATGCAAACAACAGTTTCGGACATGCGCAAGTACCCAGGAGCAAACACACACCGGGGGTCAACTTAAACTGTCACATTCGGTGCAGAATCTTGACGATTTGGATCAGGCACACAGCAGACTAAATGCAGGTTCAGATTCAAAGTCCATTTAATCAATGATGAGGAGAGTTCAACAGGTCATTATGAAGGAAAACAGTTTTAAATATATCGTGGTTATTTACATATCTAATATTAGGAATACATTATAAAGATTTACACCATCTGTTAAATATTATCTTGAAATATATTGTAGAAACAAAAATCAGTTATTTGCAACAGATAGCGGAGTTATAAAGATTATATTTGTAACGGGAATCTAAAATAGATATTTTGAAGTAATAATCTCGGTATGTTAAAGTATAATGGTATGATTATAATGTAGGAAAAGACGGCATGGGTCGACAGCTGTTATTGTTAAATATATTCTTGGTAACTTCGATATATCAGGCATTTCAATGGTAAGGGAAGCAACTTTTGTCTCTTGCCATTGTATAACATCCGCTCCTCCCAGCGACGTTCCTAAACTGACTTCATAATACAGGTTCTTCCATGGGGACGTAAATAAATCTCTCCATGACATTTCCATAGATTTACCATCAAATGATCTGGCAATTAATAATTTTGAACCCGCTGAAATATATAGAATAATAATAATAGTTTCACTGCGTGATAAAATTCAAATAATATTAATAAAATAAGCATGTTACTATACTAAAAATGGGGCCAAAACAAAGTTCATCTGGTTAAATTCTCCATCATTGCCAATTTACAACTGTATATAGATGCACGAAAAGTGTTTTCGGTCTTTCGTCATAACCGGAAGTAAAAGAAACCTCAAACGGCATCATATCCGTTACAAACGGATAATATTACACATCATAGATCAAAAATGAAATATTTTTATTGACAGACTGACTTATACAAACCTTGTAAAATAGGAGGTTGTGCTACAGATGCTATTACTGTTGATAAAGAACTGTCTTGTCTTCCTAATACATTAATAGTAGAAACACAAACATTATAGTTAGAGTTAGGTTGTAGTGATAAACTTCTTAATTTAGCCTGGCTATAACCAATCTCTGTAACTCGAACTTCTTTATATAAATTATAACCTGGACCATACATTGATACCTGTAATAAAATCCATAAATCTAATACTTGTAACAACCATTCATATGTGACAGTTTATTTTAATATTTTCCGACCACTCGGGGTAATTTTTGTAAACCGAAACATTAAATCGTTTTATTATGAAAAAAGACACTGATATTTCTAGGAGCTGAAATGTGCACAGCTAAGAGTTAAAAGTACGATATGTTACAACGATCTGTGACCATTTCATGTTTCCCACTCATCTGGAATTTCTCCCCTTCTTAAAAATATACCTGTATAGATTTGATATCAATTATGGTATTTTCTAAATCCCATTTCAATCGTAAACTATCAGTCAATGGATAACAATCATCCTTCACCGGATATGCAGATACTCCATCTTGATGAATGGCGATATGTCCGTCTGCTATGGCAGCCATTTTGATTATAACCAGAACGCCATCACTAGTGGCTGTAGTTGGTAAACCAGCCTTATTATAACATCTTACAGTAGAATAAACTAGTTTAGAGTTCTGTATTTGATCAACACTGAGTTCAACTTGAACAAATGATTGTTGATCTGGTACAGGAGTAAATGGCTGTATATCAACACCGCCGTGCGTTGAACCTAGTATGTAAAACATTAATTGATAACAAAAAATAAAACTAGTTGATACAAATAATACAGAAATCTTTAACAATAATTACAATCAAGCTTCGACTGCAAAACCAAACCTATTAAAAATTTTTGTTAAATATATAGAGAAAGTCATTTGTTATACGTTGTAATGCAAAATAAAATGAAATAGGGTTTTACGTCCTACTACTGTTCTGTACTGAGTGGAGGCCAGTTCTAACCCTAACCCTAACCCTTTAAGCAGTGGGAGAAAAGCTGGGGACCCGGAACAAACCCACGAGGTTGGACATGCCACCCTACTCCTTGTCACGTGTACTGACTGGGCTAATGAAGACCGACATTCATCATACAGTGTTCTGTGAGGAGAGGTTTGCTCATAAGACATTAACAAACTAAGGTATTACAACGTTTCTAATTGTGAAGCATTGTCTATCGCCCATTTACAAACTACGTTATTACAGCGTAGCTAATTGTGAAGCATTACCTATAGCCCATTGACAAACTACATTATTACAACGTTGAGAATTGTAAAGTATTACCTATAGCCCATTGACAATATTCTACCCCCGATTCTTTATCTTCTACTTTCCAATTAACTGATATAAGTTTGGTTATCTGGAAATTTACATCATCCCCTAAAATAATCCAAATATGTAACATTTGCTTTATATTTAAAAAAAACAACAAAAACATATTTAAATCAACAATAGAGTTAAACAAGTTAATGTATTAGACTAGAAACAATTTTCGGGGCCATCGAATTGATGCAGATTCTTCTTTCACGATTTTGATGGCACCCGTAATGTGTTTTTGATACGAACCAAAGCACAAACAAGTTTAAACCTTCGAGGTGTTAGCATCATTGGTTTAGTAAACAGTACAATCCTGCCAAGTAATAACCAAGTTTCAACCCTGAACTTGGTGTTGATTACCATTCTGAATAGATCATCGGTTCTGTCAATTTTATTTAAATAGCTGATATTTCATTGTGGTGGCCAATAATATTTTCCATTAAAGTACCTCACAATAAAATTTCTTACCTATACCATCGTTTATCTCTGATATTATTGGCGGAGTCATATCGACAACAATACTCTCTGAATGGCTGACAGTTGTCAGTCCGGCGCCATTGGTTGACATCACGGTCAGGTATAGTAGTGTATTATGGGCTAATTTTAGACCGGATGCTGTAACTTGCTGATTTCCACCAACACTTGTGAACGCCCGAATCTGGTTTCCATCTTTCACGGTTCCTGAAATTAATATGATTGTTTTGGTTGAAAACTGTTGCCAAAACGATATTAGAAAAGACGAATGCTCCCATAGTAAATTTTCCAATATATTATTTGATACTAAAATCAACTTGGTTTCTAAATAAAATCTATGAAAACAGGAAATGTATTGCTATAACTAAATACCTACATGATTTAAACACTATTGTATTACTTAATTATAGTCACTGATATATTTACATATGGTAGTACATGTATTCAAAATAAACTTACCTAGTGCCCATTGATAATCTGTAATAGGACTTTGATCATCTTTAAAATGCCAGGTAAGATGAAGAGATGACCAATAAGGTCTAAACACTGTATGATGTATTAAATGATTAGAATCACTTGTTATATCTATATAATTAACTTGTTGTACATATACATCATCTACAGCTAATATCATATGTAATTTACTTGTACCAATTCTTATCACTTCTCTTGCTTCTCTTGGATGGAATACATAAGTAACTTTATTCCATAATATTAATGGCTGTTGGTCGATGTCACATATCCCCTGACATCGTTCTGGGTCAAGGCTGAAAGTGTGAGTTTCTTGTCCGAATTGCACGAAACCTTCCACGTTGTGATGCTCAATGCTAACATCATGTGGATATCCAACGTGTACTATAACATGGTAAGAACTTTGGGTGTTTAAATCAAAAACTGTTTGTTGAATATGACCTTTCACTTTAATATAGGCTCCACCCTCTTTTGAAACGGAAGGTGGTGACTGGATGATTTTAATACACGAGGTGGAGTCAATATACCAAGGAGCTGGTGGTTGGTCATCACATTCCTTATTTGATTCTGCCACGCCTTCTTCAAATGATGGATTGGCGATGCGATTTTCTCCAATATAATCTATATCAACCGGTACTGGGGGCGTGGTATCAATTGTAATACCATCAGACACCGCTACATCAGATTTTAACCCACTCCCATCTACAGCATACACTTTATTATAAATTTTCATACCTATAAAAATAAAATAGAAATGTCGTATTTGTTATAGTGGCAATAGATCACATTTGGAAACAAAAAATTCAGAAACCCATTCATTTTGCAGGAGATGGCGTGAGGCGTTATGGGATGGCCTTGAGGTATATTATATTTGAGCGGAATCTTTCCTCAGACAGTTAAAGAGATATCTTGTCCACTATACTACAATAGAGGACCAGTATCGCGCGTGTCTAGGCAAGACGAAAATATGACGAGTGATATATCCCTACTGTAGTATATATAATGTCACGATAATGAAAGGATTTTTATTTAATCATTTCAATCTATATCTGGTGGAAATTGAGATTTTATTCAATTAATATGGAAACACTGTATTTGAATGCCTACCATGATTTAAAGGTGAGGTTAGGTTTACAGACACTCTAGTATTTAATCCTACATTCTTCCAGTCGTGTATATTACAATCTGTAGTATTAAAATCAGTACCAATACACCAGTAATATTTAACTATACCAGTACCACTATCAGTAAAACCATACCATGATGAGGATATAACTGTTGTAGAGTATTGGTAATCTTTATCATAGATATCTGTAAAATTTGAATTAATAAGAGACCATATCCGCCAATTTATCATGGTTGTTTATAAAAAGCTGGAAATTTCTTTGCGAAATATCATGAAAATACGTACCAGATTTTAAAAAATTAAAATCGGCTAAATAAGTATAATGTGCCCCCCCCCCCACACGCACACACACACGCACCTCCCCCCCCCCCAAAAAAAAAAACGAAAAAAAAACCAAAACAAAAACAACAGAAGCCACAAATTGTAATTCTTCTACTTTGAAAGATCGCGACTTTTAAGCAAAGCGACAAAGATAACTGAAACTTTGGAGAATGATCGTACACAGAATTAGTTCAAGTAATTGGGGGGGGGGGGGTACCCTATATTCAATAATTTCAATAGATCACTTACCATTACCATCATGTATAATACCGGAAGTGGGAGTTGTATTGTCTATTAATATTCCATCACTATTGGCCCAGCTCAATAATCCTGCTTTATTATAAGCTAGTACAGTACTATAATATTCTCTATTCTCTTGTAGATTTAGATTAGTAGCTGTATAGACACTAGTATTTCCAGGTACTCTTGTAGATGACTGATGGACGTTGTGGCCTATATTTCAGAGAAAAAAACAAGACCGCTATTGATTACATTATTAAAGGCGATTATATTGAAAATTTCAGTCAAAATTCTCTATTCTGGGGTAAGTTATCAGTGTTTGCGGTTTTGCTAAGAATAGAGTGGTCTCGAATTTTATTGCTGCCATTGTTACGATAATAAACAATGTCTCGATTATCGTACTTCAAATCATCATATTCACTTTTGACGGTGTATCTCTTTGCGAGTGAAATGGGGCCGTCAGGTAAGCTGCCCATATGAACTGTTTATGTTCATGTGTATGCTATTGGCCTGTTATTAACATACTCTGGTTACCTCTAATAAAAACAGCAGTGCATTTCCGCAGTTTTGTATTGTTTCTGAATATCCCCTACTTTTTTGAAGAGTATAGATCTTTAAGACTTACTATACTAGATAATGAGATTGGGCGGGGCCGATTAAAAAATGTCCTATAAATGTTTTCGTTAAGCATTCTGGTTAGAAAATGTTATTCAATGTAATACTGTTAGTATTAAAACCCACCTTGCGGATGTGTGCTTATGTAAGGCTTAAAATAATCGAATCCATGAATTCCTCCTCTAAATTTATTCTTCCAACCAACAATAATCTGATTGCTGGATGTTTGGTAATCTATATCGTTAACACTTGATATAGTTTCTAATTCTTTTATCTGGATAAAAAATAGAGAAATATGTTATATCACAAAATCAAATAAATAGTTCTATTTAAAATAGGTTAATCAAAACGGGAAAACATTAGTCGATATAATTAAATAGTTTGATGTCTTTAACTTATTTCTATCTACTTATAGGTTAATCAAAACGGGAAAACATTAGTCGATATAATTAAATAGTTTGGTGTCTTTAACTTATTTCTGTCTACTTACAGCAGCTTCCGCTATGTGACTGACACTCGGAGCAGACGTCAGTGGTGTAATACCAGGAGACTTAAATATCGCATATTGATTTGTATTATACCATACCCTTACAAATACACTATATGTTATAGACTTATCTAAAACTTTAGCTGGAATACATAAAATAGTATTGCGAAATTACATGTACTAGAAAAACAAGGGGACCTAAAGGATATCCCTGTGACACACATTTACAAGCAAGAAGATTTTTGTTTATAGAGCTTTATACGTATGTTTCGATGTTTATAGTTGAATGTATTGATAAGGTATCCTATTGTAACTGAGTGAAGTTTATGTGCTTTGTTAATATTACATACTAATAAATATAAATTATTGATGATTGTTTCTTGAAAGAAATGAATAACAATTTTGAAAGGTATACCTGTAGGTAAAGTAATTATAGTTTCGGTATTTTCACCAACATCAAACCATGTTCTTTCTGTATCAGTATCATATATTCCACTGGGGGAATTTTCACCGGGATGTCCGGCACTGCATTCATATCTACAATATCATATGCTGAGTTTGAATTCCTGGTAATTGCTATGTAGTTAATAATGAACAAAAATGGCCTTGGCAGGCTGAAGCTTAGGGCCTCAAGATCTAGTGGGCCTGCGGCAAAATTGTATGATATTTTTGCCACAACCACACGCCTTTTTTACACGCACTTTAGTCTTAAACATCCATCATCATCGGGTTATTAAATAGGTTTAGTTTACCTTATAGACGAGAGACATTGTTGTTTTTTTTATAGGGGTTTAATTTACCTTATAGATGAGAGATATTGTTGGTTTATTAAAGATATTTAATTTATTGTCCCCCGCCTTTCGAAGAAAGCAGGGGACTATTAAAATGGGTTCGTCCGTCTGTCTGTCCGTCTGTCCGTCCGTCTGTCCGTCCGTCTGTCTGTCCGTCTGTCTGTCCGTCACACTTTTTGGGACACAATAACTCTCTTCCTAATTGAGCTAGAATGTTCAAACTTGGTGTATGTGTTTATTAGGTCAATGCCTTGATGGAGTTCGAAGATGAGCATTTTCCGCTTAGGGTAAGCAGAGATAAGCAATTTGATTGGTTGATGCTTTGGGACACGATAACTCTCTTCCTAATTGGGCTAGAATGTTCAAACTTGGTGTATGTGTTGATTAGGTCAATGCCTTGATGGAGTTCGAAGATGAGCATTTTCCGCTTAGGGTAAGCAGAGATAAGCAATTTGATTTGTTGATGCTTTGGGACACGATAACTTTAGTTCTAATTAAGTGAGATTGATGAAACTTGGTGTATAGTTTCATTACAGTAATACCTTGACTAAGTTTGATAATGAGCATTTTCTGCTCAGGGTAAGCAGCAATTTGATTGGTTGATACTTTGGGGCACGATAACTCTCTTCCTAATTGAGCTAGAATGTTCAAACTTGGTGTATGTGTTGATTAGGTCAATGCCTTGATGGAGTTCGAAGATGAGCATTTTCCGCTTAGGGTAAGCAGAGATAAGCAATTTGATTGGTTGATGCTTTGGGACACGATAACTTTAGTTCTAATTAAGTGAGATTGATGAAACTTGGTGTATAGTTTCATTACAGTAATACCTTGACTAAGTTTGATAATGAGCATTTTCTGCTCAGGGTAAGCAGAGCGATACGCAATTTGATTGGTCGAGACTTTGGAAAACAATAACTCTCCTACTTTGATTGTTAGACTATAAGTAAAGATATACTGTTTGATTGTTCAATACTTTGTAAAAGATAATTTGTGATAAATTTATATGTGTCCTCTAATTATTTTCCTATTTCGGCGGGGGACATCAGCCTCACTGTTGGCTTGTCTAAGTTTAATTTACCTTATAGGAGAGATACCTTGTAGGTTTATTATGCTCCATCTGGCAGCTAGAAAATTATAAGACGATGTGTAGTAAGTCTGTGCAGCATCAGATGACATCAAATTATTCATGTCAGTAACTTGGATAATGTTATTTGGATTCCCTGCAAGGATGATTATAAATAAAATATGAATCACATGTCGGATAGCATAACATATACAAAAACATAGAAAAATCAGGAATAGTGTGGCATATAACATCTGAAATTATTTATGGTAGACTAAACACAGTTAGTCATTACTGTGGCGAATGTGATGGTAAACATAGCAGAAAAGTTCACAAAGAATTAATTAAATAATATGAATAGTTTTAATAAAGTTGATAGATATATACCTGTTGAGATGTCACTACAGTTTTCAGCATCTGAACATGTTTTGTCTTGTGCAGCACAAACACAATGTCCAAGACAATTATACGGTTGACATCTCCTGACCAAATCTAACATTCCTCCTTCTACAAGTTCAAATTCAGAATGAGCAGGCTGACTTTTTAATCCAACCTATGTCAAAAATAAAAGTGAGATGATATGTAACACAATAAAACAACTAGAATTAAAACATATTCGTGGTTAATAGATACGGATGCTGAAGTGTCAATTTTGCTAAAGCCTGATACACCCGATTTAGATGTGTAATTTCTCATGTTCTACTGTAGTACATATGATATACTAGAAAATGATTAAATAGCAAATAATTACCCCGTTAACAGCCCATACAGATATGAAAACAGAATTGCCCATATGTAGTGTCTTGGTAGTTATTGTAACTGATTGTACCATTCCTTCATCATTAAAATTATCTCCAGCCACATGTTGAAACGTGGTTTGTTGATCGCCCTGTTAAAATATTTTATCAGAAAAGAATTTCGTGAAGTAAAGAAAATATGTCATATTACCTAAGCTTAATTGGGGATCGAAGCCATGCATTTTATTTATAAGATTGGGGGTGTTTGAATGCAGCAAATTTACTCCAAAATTGTATTATTCTCAAGAATACGAAATATTACCGTAATCAGAGATACTTACCTGGTTGAGATCAGTAAAGAAAGGTTTTGTTCCTACACTGACTTTATACTCGGTTATACCAGTATGCAGATCGGCAAATCCCAACCATGCTAACTTAATAGACGTAGTAGACCAGTGGTTCCAGTTATTCCTATCTCTGTTTAAGTTAGCGGCGTGGTCAGTATCAATAGCAAACATACCTGAAATAACATTCACAAAATATTTCATCGGAGAAGATGCGCAGTTTGTATGCTGGTAAAACTTTAATTCTTTATAATTATCAGATTACTTATTCATTTTCGAGTGGAAAACAAATAATAATAATAATAATAATAAATATTAATAAATTAAAATTGTCAGATTTCTAGTGCATTTAAATTTATTTAGATCGAGAATTAGTGATCAGATATCACGCACGTTGTTCAGATATAATGCAACCATAATCATAACCAAAACCATCCACAGAAAGAATACACGTACCTCTGGTAGGTGATGTAGAATCAACTGTTATATCATCTGTAACACTCGACTGACACAAACCAGCTAAATTACAACCAATCACTTTAACTTTATATTTACTACCGTCGTGTAGAACTAGACCAGAAAACGTAAACTCTGTTACCACACTAGGAATCTGAAACAAAAACAGTAATATAGTCTCTAAAATTAAAAGTATTCCAACTATACAATTAATTTTCACCGTTCATTAGTCAAACCCGTAATACGACTGCATTTTTAAAATAGTAATATATCCAACTATACAATTTTACCCCGGCACTGTCAATTGGACATCCTCGTATTGCCACTTTATTTTTCTTTTAATTACTGAATTCATTATAGGCATGCTATTTTCTGTTTCATTTTTTTAAAAAACAAAGTATGTTTAACATTAATGTTAGGACTTACCTCCATATCCGAAAAACAAAACATGTTTAAAATTAATGTTAGGACGTACCTCCATAGCTGAAGAATTGAAATCTCCCAATAAATGAGGTGAAATAGAAATGTATTGTCTTTCTATATCTGATTCATCATCAGTAAACTTCCATTCAATTTTAATACTAGATTTTGATATCGTAGTTGAAGGTAAAATAGAACTAAACGTTGAGACAGGAACTGCCCTTTGTACCACTACTGGTAATGTTGTATCGATTTTAAAACCATTTGATGTAACTTCGCTGTATAAACCTAATAATATAAAATCTAGGTACAGTGGTGACTGTGAAATGCACAAATAATACAAACGATGATGATATAAATATAATAGAAATCCTATACAATTTTACAAAAGAAAGATGTCGCCCATGTTTCTATATTCTTGCCCACAAAGGAGTGATAACTCTAACCAATTTTAGAAAGGGGGAATAGTTCGTGAAGGACCCCTTTAACAAAAGAAAGATGTCGATTCGTCTATAATGAAGCCATGTCTAAAGGACATGGCCCCCATGTTTCTATATTCTTGCCCACAAAGGGGTGATAACTCTAACCAATTTTAGAAAGGGAGAATATGTCGTGTAGGATCCCTTTTACTACTTATACATCAACCGAGCCGTCCCTAAAACCGGTTATAGCATATTGCGAATTTATACATTGGGCCCACAACAGCAATGCTTGTTCAAATACGATATAACTTATATTATTGTTTTTGTAAGTATCATTAGGGTCATTAAAATAATTTGAGTCATACCTGCTTTATTGTAACATCTAACAGTAATATAAATTCTAGTATCAGTAGGCAATAGTTTATTATCAGGTAAATTAGATCTATAGGTCAGTTCGACCACTGGTAAAATTTGAGGGCTAAGTATCTCTTCGCCTCCAATGGTTGTTCCTACTCTCCATTCATATCTCGCTATACCAGATTGTGCATCTTTAAACCCATGCCATTTGGCACCAACAAAGTTTCTGAAACCAGGATGATAATCCTTAAAAAGTTGCACATAACACATTATGTTAACTTATTCAGTAGTAGAATCTGATTTTGGACGATAATAATTGCAACACTCTTATATAACCCTATACTAGCTGCCGAGAACCGCTTTATGAATGTCAATCATCTAATTAAGATAGGTTGCCAGCTAAATCGCCAGGTCGACAAGGGTTGCATTACCGGAAATTATTCAAATTAAATAGGATTCTTCATATCAATAATGTATACATATAATATCAATTTTAAAACAATCAGATGATTAAAGGTAGTCTATAGAGTGTTCAGAAGAAATTGTGAACGGACGGACGGGCGAGATGGCAATATACGACTACATCTCCATGTGGGCGTATAAAAATGGGTTATTGTTAAATGCCTTCTAAGACAATATCTACTGCAGCGGTCCCACAGCTGAGGAGACTCGATAACCGTGATCCAATCATATTCGTGGATCCTCATGTCTATTTTATAGTTTGCCCTGAAAACGGAAAACTAAACAGACTTGATAACCCTGTTTCAATTACCTGGTTGCTTGGAATTCTACATCTAAATCTTTCGTTCCATCTAAAACTCTTCCCACGTCCGGTGGTGTCACGTCAATTATTACACCATCAGAAATGGCCGACGTACACATGTCCGCCATATTGCACCCTGTTACCGTGGTGATATATTTTGTTCCAGGAGTCAATTTGGACGGTGGAAAGGTAAAATCTGAAATATGTGTCGGTTTTAACATTTATAAGAACATATACCTAATTTATTTTAAAGAGAATAGCTTATATTTTTACAATAAAACTTAACTACTATCTGAAATATGTATCGGTTGTTAAAATTTATTAGAACACCTACCAAATTTATTTTAACGAAACTAGACCTTATTTTTACAATAAAACTTAACTACCTCTTCTTGGGAATATTTATTACTAGTTCTATGAAAGATTGTAGTTTGTAATAATATTTTCCTTACGTGTAGATATTCCTGTTTTGATTTCTGGAATTATGTCATCACAATCATCACAGGTACCAACTTTAACAGTATAGTATTGCATTGATGAATGGGGATCATGAAATCCTTGCCATCTAACAGAAAGTGGTGATTCGTTAGTTATATAATCTACGTCATCTCCGGTATAGTTTGTATTAAGAATATCGATGACATGTCCTGTGGTAGGAGGAGCTGTGTCTACTGTCACTGGATGAGATATTAATGTAGTAGATAACCCTGCACCATTAATGGCCTGAAACATCACAATAGACAAGAGTTATTTTAAATTTGGTATATAGAATACAAAGATAAGTAGCATGTAGCATGAATTTGAAAACTTTTCTATTGGAAATTTCATCAGTTATAGCAAACCGTCTAAAAGATTTGCATCAATTTCTTTGAAATAATAAAGGGGTAAATAATAAAGCGCAATGTAAATTGAAAACCATATGACCATTCTCTTGGTTTGTTCCCACTTTATCTATAGTTACATCAACCATAATTCATTAAAGAGATATACCTGAACTGTGACGTAATAAACGTGTCCATCTTGTAATTTTTGTTCTAAATTCGCTTCATCACAATCATTATTTGTTATCATATATCCCCTTATGTTTTCATGACCTGGTCTAGTACCTATTGCCCACCGATACTGACTTATACCGCTTTCGGTGTCTTTAAATGATCCGCCCCAACTGTAAATAAATCATATAAAAGGGATGATGCACTTCAATTGTCAATAAATCAAATAAAATGGCACAGACACTTTAATACATTATTTACAAACATGCAGTGTGCTATGAGGGTGAACTTTCAACTGCCAAGGGATCTTATACATGGGATCGAAACCGAGGCATTCTGTTCTTTTACGTTTACAAGGAACTTAGATGTTTCATTACACCCAAACGACTAGACCGTTCTTTGCCAGGCCACCCGTCTTAGCGAATGCGACGACCTTCTGAAATCGAAGTCCAAAGCATCGATTCATTTAGCTATAAATGATAAAAGGTATCGTGCACATGTCGAGGTAGGCTTACTATTTCACGCCTTCAGAAACACCGGTTTTCAAATACTTTCGCTGGGGTTGATGGCTTTCATTGTGTTTTGTTTACTAACACTAGATTCTATATAAACCTACCACGCAGACAATACATCATTTGACTGTATATATGTATTAGTAAATTGTATAGGTTTAGATGTAGTTTCTGGTGGACTATTATCAATTATGAAACCTTCTGATGAAACGGTTTTTGTTCTGTTTACAAAATCAATTGCTGAAAATAAAAGAAAACAATATTAACACTTAACAAGCAATAGTGGCGCCAGCTTATGGAACCAACGGATAAAAGAAATGGGTGTATACTAACGAACGAGCAATTTTGCCAAGCGGGCAATAGAAATCAATTCATTTTGCATAGAAGATCGGGGTGTGTAGATTTACAATTAATTACACGAATGTAATACATGATTGACAAATTTAATTTAATGGTTTCTATTTGCTTTTATTTAAATTATACATTTTTTGTAAACAGAAAAACTGAATTTATACTTACCTTCTACAGTGACGTAATAAGTGTGGCCATTTTGTAAAGAAAGATGGTGTAATATTTTATGATTTATCAAACCAACATTATGTTTAGTTACAATATCTTCACCTCCCTCTATAGAACCTTTATAAGTAAAAGAAAATTTACAGAATGTAAAGAACAGCATATTTACAGATTGACAATAAGGTATGTTCGTTCACTTTTAACTTGTTGATTGAGCGATCACTGTCGCATCTTTGAAAAACTGTAACCATACCGATATATAAATGATATTTTGATATTCCACTTGGATGAACAGTTTTTCCACCATTTTCTTCTACGTCAAGAAAGCTATCCCAGTAAACAGCAACATCACTGTCGGACGACTGAAATAATATATTGGTTATTCATATACAACCACCACTACAACTACGCAAAAAAAAAATATATTTCTATACATTACGAATTGTATAATGGAAAAGGTAAGCTTAATCAAATACTAGAAACAACAGATAGCTATATAGCATATTGTCCGAGGATGGAACCATTATACCGAAACACTATTAATCGGTCTAACAGGGAATTACAAGGAATGAATGACACATCAAATCTTATATGTGTTCGAGTATACTGGGATCGCGACAACGGGATTCGACAATATTTATATAGAAATATTACTTGATATTTAAAATCTTTGAAGTTCTCCACCCAAACCCGACCACCATTTGGTGGAGTCAAATCAACAGTTACTCCATCACTACAAGCGTTTACTTCTTCCAAATCTTCCGTCCATTTTTCATGACCAGCAACAGCAGCATCAGCACGGATACAGATATAATACCGTCTTCCATGTTTTAAAATATTTGGATTTAATACATTGATGTATTCCTTTTCTGTGAAAAGAAATAAAAATAAATGCGGTGAAATTGAAGTCTTAATGATAACGTCAATGAAGTATCCTGCAAAGTAAGTGTTCTTTTTGTCGATCAATCAATCAATCAATCAATCAATCAATCAACACAAAATTTGTATAGTAGACAATTCCAGAGAAATGTGCTGCAGAATGAAAAGATCGTTTAGTGTGTTCAAGTTTGATAGCAGGAATTACTAATAATGACTTGTTCTGTGATATTAGGGTTCTACTGAGTAGATCTTTTATGCATTGTGGTGCTTAATTGTCGAGTGCTTTAAAATTCATTAACAGTATATTGAAAATGATTCGCCGATTTATGTGTTGCCAATGGAGGGTTATTAATGTTGGTTTAAAGCTGAACTCCGATTACAAAACTACAGAAATAATCAAATAAAAAACCCATTTACACCCTAAATAATCGCCATACTTGTTTTCAAGTTGTAGAATATCATGAACGATTGTACGGCGTACAAAAACAAGAGGCAGGCCACGCCCACACCCAGTTCATGCCTTGTCAACCACATTGTCCACATCCGGCTAGCAATATTTCAGCTGACTGATTGACGTTTTTTTCACTATCAGTTTACTGAAAATATTATTGCTAGACAATTATTATGTTTTGATCACGTACATATTATTTTACTAATTAGACAAAATAAGTAAACCACGGTGTACTTTTGCTCTAAAAAATATGAGAAAAACTGCCTTACGCTACCCCAAACAATAACAAATCTACCAACACAAACAATTGTTTTCTTATTTCTTGAAATGTTTTGTATAACAGCGTGGAATCACCAAATAATTTCTAGTATTACCGTTCCAAAATATATCCAAAGCAGCAATAAAACTGTTGTTCTCTCCATCAAAGAAATATGTTTTCACCTCAAAATATTCACCATCTTGTGAAGTAGTTATGTCCCTTGATGTTATGTCAACTACATAGATTTGGTTGGTGTTGGTAGATTTGTTATTGTTTGTGGTAAGGCCTTATTTTTAGAGCAAAAGTATACCGTGGTTTACTTATTTCGTCTAATTAGTAAAATATGTACCTGATCAGATATAATAATTAGGTAGCAATAATACTTTCTGTAAACTGTTAGTGAAAAAACGTCAATCAGTCAGCTGAAATATTGCTAGCCGGATGTGGACAGTGTGGCTGACAAGGCGTGAACTGGATGTGGGCGTGGCATGCCTCTTGTTTTTGTACGCCGTACAATCGTCCATGATTGTTCTACAACTTGAAAACAAGTATGGCGATTATTTAGGGTGTTAATTTTTTTTATTTGATTATTTCTGTAGTTTTGTAATCGGAGTTCAGCTTTAATGTGATCCCTTTGCCTTGTTCCAGTGATGAGTCGAGCTGAAGCATTCTGAACATATTGGATTTTCTGCAGCTGCCGCTGTGGTAGACCACACAATAAAGCATTATGGTAGGCCAGCCTTGAAGAAGGGCGTAAGGAACTAGTGCAAGGAATCAATGGAATAAAGCCTATATGACATTTGAAGATGACCGAAACTCCCTCACCGGTTTGTCCACACTGTATAACATCTGGATGTGAACAAGGATCTCTTATCGTCATCTTCGGTCGGGTAAAATGTGTTACAATAGATAAGGCTTGGTCTTCCAGTAAACCCCAAGTATAGTTTCTATGTCTTAATGTGGGCCACACAGCCGATATAATATTTTTATAAGGTGTATAGTCCACATCTGGTTTAGACCAGACTGCGTTCTGATCCAGAGAAATTGACGTTCCTAGTTCATTTGTGTTAGGATCTGAAATACAAAACAAACAACATCTTCAAATTCTTCAAACGCTACACATAAAAAGATGGAGACGTCATAATCCATGGATCTTTCAAACCTCTCTATGTATGTGTGTGTGTGTGTGTGTGGGGGGGGGGGCTTGCGCGCTTTTATTTCAATTCCAAGTTACATCAAAAAGTACTCACCGTTATTTAATGGCTGTCCTATAGCATCTACAACAATAGCCGGTATAATTAATACTGGATCTACAGCTGAACAGTTTTTAATATCCGACGATATTATTGTTGATAAACCAGCTTTATTAAATATTCTTACAGCCAATCTTCTACATTCACTAAAATCAACTTCACCGTCTAAATTAATGCTAAACTGAATCTAGGAAATACAATACTTTTCCATGAAATAGTTTGTCTTTATGACACAATTTTGAAAACAGGTTCGCGTAGTTACATAGATATCCTGTTGAAATGAAATACCACACAGATGATTTTCCTTCAACGCAACCTTTTTTGTGGTGCACGTACTATTTCTAAAAAACCCGATACATTTTGTAGTTGCGCATTGATAGCTTTGGGGACGGACAACACCCCTAACACAGTTACATATTTTGTTCTTTCTTTCTATGGGTTTGCCTAAAATCTGTAATCAAGATTACGTTTTAAGGCATTTTCATAATGTATACCGCTGTAACAGATTTATAAAAGCATGCAGACAATCTTAGAATTTAAATTCTTACCATTGTCTCACTGATTTTCTGCACATTGTTTACTTTGCTCCATTTAGTAAATAAATGACTATTGTGTTTATTATCTGTTATACTCCACATATATTGATCTATGGTAGACTCCACAGAACACACTCTATCTTCGGTATTACTCTTCTTGTAAGTCAAGCTAACATCTAACTGGGATATGGAATAAAAAATGAAATGATAACCGTATTATATTAAAACAAACTTTCATATCAGGTTACATTTAGTAGCTCATTGAAGGATTTTAGGTTCATGCTGGGTTAATTGTATGGCTACCTCGTTAGGTTGCATGGCGTCGTTGTGCTCATCAAGGTGTTATTAACGGTATATTAACGTTAAGTTGTTATCTGGGTGATTTTGTTAGCATTCGGCCAGCAACTATTACTATAGTGCGCTGCAAATTAAATATTTGATTATGCATAAATATTAGACAGATAAAAAGAAATCATTTTAATTAGTTGGATTATATTATTTATATTTGATTTACCTGGGAACTTTGCATCTGTTTGTGGAGTATATCTATATGTGGCATATCAGGTTCGCTCAACACTGTTACACCATTACTGACTACAGGTTGAGAACAAACTTCACCCGAACAGAACCTCACACTACTTCTATATGTTTTACAATAATCTAATACTACTGGTTGGAAGATTCGACCAGAATTTGATAGAAAATTCTTATCTTCTACATTGTACCATATATCCTCTGTTAAACAATGAATAATAATTTAATAATAAAAATAATTACACTCTAATATCAGTTTGCTGAGTAACCTTCTTTATTTTTATCAACCATACAATTTATGTAAATTTAAACAATTGGACGCTTCTTCTCTAGAGATTCTATTTTTTTCTAATTATAAATATATCAAAATGCTATAATCAACAACCGCACTAATGCATTATATTCATTTATTTCAAAGTAATTCAAACATTTACCTGTGTTTTTCTGTCTCAGTTGTAGCGTCCATTTAATATCAGGATACATATGTTTATATGCATTTGATATTGTCCAATGTGCCATGTAATAAGATGTTGATATTTGATAGTCAATATCCGACTCACAATCTGAGCTTGAATTCTGTGTCAGAAAGAAAAATGGCGTGTATTCTTAAAGTGTTCTTAATTGAAGGTTTTATAGATAAATATTTGAAAACTGACAACACCAATAACTACATTGTATCACTATTAATACCTCCAGTATCAGTTCAATACATGTAATGTATTTTTCATGAACATAATTTTAAAATTTAGAATTAAAACGCTAATAAAATAAATATTGTACTATTCTTAGCTTACTAATTATTAGGAAAATAGTTTACCTTTTGTGAATGGTGGTTTGGTAGCCATGATAGTTTTTCTATGTTTGATATTATTATAAAATGTAAGAAAGTAATATGGTATAAGGATAGGAAAATAATGTTATGTTTTATTTGGAATAATTATCAACTGTGGAACTCGGATTTCAATTAGGAGTAAAATAGCTTTATAGCCATATTATGATCATGCATTGTACATTTTCAGTAGTACTTAATATCAAATACAAGGGATATAAATGTGACCCTTGCTGCCGGCCTACATCAACTATTGGTTTTATAAGCTGATATATAGTTGATGGCAAATGTTTATATCTACGAGGTAATCTGAATTTAAAGGAGCTAAGTCGCTAATATTTGTGACCTAGAAATTGACACAAATGGGTCGCAACGCATACAATAATGTAATACGAATGTATATAAATTGATTTACATTAAATCGTTTCTATATTTACTGTAATTTCTAATCAGTTAGGTTCGGCGAAATACGCCAGTATTCTCAATCGAATTTCAATCTCTAGCGTCTGGTTATTCCAGTCTACGCCGATAGTATTTATTGGGCATGCTCTCCAGATAAGAATATAGCGTCACCGTTTGACATGACCTGTGGAATATGCCTAGCCTCGGTTTTCAATTCCCTTATTACAAATAGCGCTGAAACGCATTATGGTACAAGATTCGTGTACCAATTGTAAAATGTTTATTTTGTCTTTAAATATTGGATATCAGGAGGCCATTTTTTCCCGGTAAGATCACAACATCAATGTTGATTTAACCCGACAAATAAATCGTGTTTTCAATGTCGAAAATTTTGGATGATATTGAGTTAGAGACTTAGCTACTTTAATCATTAATACAGTATTTACGAGGTTATGCATATTGGTTAAAAATGTGGTTGTGAGGTAATCTTTATTCGTAAACACTATTGTTATGAATAAGGCTGTTTATTAATTTACCCTTTTGTTGACAATCAGAGCCATCTTTTATCTGAACTTCATTATTCAGGTTAACATTTTTCTGAACTATAGTGATACCATTAGACGACGCCTTTGTTGTTCCGGCGTCACTCCTAGCTGTTACCGTTACAAAGTAAGTCTAAAAATAGTAACAATAATAATATTGACAGAATATATTACTAATACATACAAATGTAGATTTCTTTATTTGTGAACGGGTCTTAACATGAGGCATCTAGAGCAATAAGGAGGTTTTTCTGACAAACGTGTATCTTGTAGCGTCTGTATACAATTGTTACATTAAAATATCCTACCTACCTTGTGCAGCTGTAAATTAAGCCCGAGAAACGTATGCTGTGTCTTACTGCCAACGTTTTCATCTTTTATATCAATAACGAGTGGTTGAGAGCCAACACCAATACTGTAAGTCACATGCTCGGCCATATCATCAGATTCAAATCCAAACCATCTTGCTTTTAATTTACTGGTTGATAATTGAAAATTACTGTCTTCTAACTCCTAAAGGGAACATTATATAATTATAAACAAATGTGTTCCAATAGAGAAATACAACCGCAGATGAAAGCCTATGTTAGGTACTGTTATCAATACCAGCGCAAATGTTTACCATAAGACGGAAAAGTATTTTGTAATATCAGTTTAGTGGATTTTGAATACACGCTGCTACAAAAGTAAATGATCGAGTATGACCAAAGACTAGACGGTTTCTTTAACTAGCTATGTAGGTTGCAATGTATGGGAAGAGTAATGGTCCAAGTTACCAAACATGATTCGATATTATATTTAATTTTAACGAAGCTACCACACTGTCACAATACCGCCAACTGTTGAAAACAGTTAACACAAAATTATGTGCATTAAACTATCTGTTCCTTAGAAATGGATGCACATGCGTCTTGCAAACGAGTCCGCCGTAAACATATATGAAAAAGCTTACATTAATTCCAAAATCAACTGCCTCATCAGGTAGAATAACTTCAAATACAACTCCCTTGGCTGGTTTTCTGGTATTATGAATATATGGATTAGATGTGAACACACTGTGTAATCCTACTATATTCTCTACTCTTATAGATACATAGTAGGTAAAGTTGTGATGTAAATCCCAATGAAGATCCTCCATGGAAAAAGCTGTACAGGTTAGTGGGTTAGCTAACGTGCAGATTCCGCCAAACGATAATGAAGAATACGGATACACGTCTTCGGTTCCTGGTGAACTACCTGTAAAATGAATACATTTCTTCTGTATATTCATGACAAAGAACAAACCTCTCGTTTTTCAGATCCGAATCCAATTTTATGATTGCTATTCACAAAGTAGAATTCCGAATAGTTGCCAGATTTTACCCCATTCCCGATCACTATTAACTACTAATTGAAAATATTATCTTTTTTAAAAATCGGATTTTAGCGAAGGCAGCACTCATGCATAAACTTACCTACGGCCGCTGTAAAAGTAAGTTGCGACGACTCGGGATCAGATACAACTGCTGCTGACCAATAGGCCTCCAATATATCATCCTCAAATTTAACCAATACCTCACCACCAACAGTAGGGGGAATAGTATGAACTAAGATCGGTCCTAATCCCTGGAAAATAATTATAACATGTTTTATGGGTAACGTAAGTCTTATCAAAATATTCTAACTTTTTAAACTTTTTCAGAAAAATAAACCAATATTTGATTAAAGTACTAAAATCATAAACAAGCGCCACCAACCTGAACAGTTTCTTTTCCAGCTTTGTTAATTGCCTTAATACTGATGTAGAATTCTGTTCCATCACTTAGTTGTGGGTGGTAACCACGGTACCAAGAATGGTGATGGGTTGACGTAAATGGTAAAACGTCAGGGGCAGAAACTGAACTTTCAGCAGATGCTACACCAAATTCATAATTGTAAATTTCTGTATTCATCAAACTACCCTTAGCAGTCCAATTAACATATAACTGAAATAAAATTATTTGTTGTTATGTTCTTATCTTGGTTTTAGATTGTTAAGACCTATGAAAATAGGACTCAATCCGGTAAAGAGAATTCGATAACGATTTTTTTACTGCGTTTGTGATGTAGTCTCATTTACTAGAGATGTGATCAGAATGTCTCCCAATTCCGAAAATGATCACGCGGTTCCCGGAATCAGCTTTATCTTACCAGACAATGTATTATACCGACTGCTATTCGTCCATATCATGAATAAAGACTAAAATTATACAACGCAATGGCCCCTTCAACTCTACGGGTTGCCGGGTGATTAATTAGGGCATGATAAACTCGCAAATCTATATATTATATGTTATTGTGTTTATCGCTGTCTCCATTAGCCTACTCGGAACAGAACAGTAGGGCGTTAAACCTCATTTGTATTAATTATGTAGAAGACTATTCATGGGTTAATGACATGCTCTGTTGAGGGGTGTTCAAATTCCGAATTCACCTCTGAACGAGAAACAGAATATACTTACATGAGAATGCATTGCAAGATACATCTTTGAAAAAAATACATCTGTCATTGGGTTTTCATCACAAAACATATTCGCCGGATATGTATGTATTGTACCATTAGAAAACCGCTCAATGGGAAAAAGATCGGTACCATCAACCGTTTTGGCTTTTCTCCTGAAATATATTGATCTATTCTGTTACAATAACATTCTCTTCGTTTAATTTAGGAATACGTCGGGGCTAGGCTTCGTTTGGAGTGAATACTTGTAGGTTACTTTTACCTCATTTATAAAGTTTTACTAGCAAGTTAATTATTCCAACGGAATCTTGTGTTGTCTTTAACTTGCATGTGTAAACAATATAACATGTTATTATGTCTTTATTTCCAAGCTTGATAATATTTAATCCGACCTTCTACTGCACACAATTGATCTCAGTCATCTACTGTTTACTCGAAGACTAACAGTCATTGATACTTATTGATATTAAGTGGGTCCTTATCCATTTTGTATTGTAAAATAGTTTAATTTGTTTACTTATTCTAATGTCTTGAAGATATAAATATGGAGATATTATCCGACTAGGCTTTTTGTCAGCTGAGAATTTACATTAGTTGAAAAGGTATCCATGGGTTCGGTTACTATACAAAACGATTTATTTTAATGAATCATATTAACCAGCGGCTGCCAGGCAGGATACGCCCACATTTTGCAAGAGATTGATAGAGAACAAGCTAAAAAAAAGATTTTTCGTGCAATCAAGGGCCATAATTCAGGAAGTTACGATCCGATATGCGCGAATATCGAAAGGAACCAAGATCTTTGGGTTACAAAGATGTATATCAAGTTTCATAAAAATCAGATCACCAGTGGCTGCCAGGCAGGATACGACCACATTTTGCAAGAGATGGATAGAGAACAAGCTAAAAACAAACGGAATTTTTTGTACAGTCAGGGGCAATAATCCAAATATCAAAAAATACCGAGATCTTTGGGATATAAAGATATGTTTAAAGTTTCATCAAAATCGGATAAAAATTGTGACCTCTAGAGGCTCCACAACCTTCGTATTGCATGCTTTTACACAATTTGCGTACAAAGGGCGGCTATTTTGTCGGACAGTTTCATTTCGATTTTCCCTAAATTCGAATCCAACCGTCATTATGGTGGAATGGTGATATATTTAAACGGTTTTTAAAATCGGAAAAAAATGTGACCTCTAGAGAATCCGCGAGCTAAAAATGCGATTTTTCGAACAATCAGGAGCCATAATACAGGAAATTATGTTCGGATATGCACGATTATCAAAAGCAACCAAGATCTTAGTGTGTAATGGTGATATATTTACATGGTTTTTTTTTAAAATCGGATAATTAAAATTGTGACCTCTACAGGGACAGCAAGCTAAAAACGTGATTTTTTGTACAATCAAGGGCCATAATTCAGGAAGATACGATGCGATACGCGCGAATATCGAAAGGAACCAAGATCTTTGGGTAACAAACATGTATTTCAACTTTCATCAAAATCTGATCAAAATTGTGACCTCTAGAGGGTCCACAATCTTGATATACCAGAGGCTATATACACTATTTGCGTACGAGGGGCGGCCATTTTGTCCGGCAGTTTTAGTCCGAGATTCATGAAATTCGAACTCCACAAACATCACGGTGTAACGGTGATATTATGTTCGAACGTTTTGATAAATCGAATAATAATTGTGACCTCTAGAGGGACCACAAGCTAAAAACGCGATTTTTCGTACAATCAGGGACCATAATTCAGGAAGTTACGATCCGATATGCGCGAATATCGACAAGGAACCAAGATCCTTGGGTTATAAACTTACATGTCATGTTTCATCAAAATCGGATCAAAACTCTAGAGAGTCCACAACCTTGATATACCAGATGTTTACACTATTTGCGTACAAGGGGCGGTCATTTTGTCCGACAGTTTCGGCCCGATTTTCATGAAAAGCAAACTCAACCATCCTCAGAGTGTAACGGTGATATATTCAAACGTTTTTTTTTAAATCGGATAAAAATGATGACCTCTATAGTGTCCACAAGCTAAAAACGCGATTTTTCGTACAATCAGGGGCCATAATTCAGGAAGTTACGGTCTGATATGCGCGAATCGAGATCTTTGGGTTATAACCTTACATTTTAAGTTTCAGCAAAATCGGATAAAAATTGTGACCTCTGGAGGGTCCACAAGCTAAAAATGCGATTTATCGTACAATCAGGGGCCATAATCCATGAAGTTACGGTCTGATACATGCCAATATCGAAAGGAAACGAGATCTTAGGGAGATAAACCTACATTTCTAGTTTCATTGAAATCGGATAACCATTGATAAATACATGGATACAAGGTGTTTAACGTTATATTTTTAATATACGAAAATGACTTAAACTCAAGATTGCACTTACATACAAGCTGAATCTGGGTCTTTAAGTAAATATTTGCGTCTTGTATTTGATATATAATATACTTGATTATTTTCCTTTATTAAACCACCTTTAATTCTAGCCCCTTCTATATCTATTTCACTTATGGTAGGTAATGTTCTATCAACAACAACTCCATCAGAACAAACTGGTACAGATACTTCTAAGGCTCGGTTATATGCTACCACGGTGATGTAATATTTACCATCAGACGGTGCTGCCCAAGAAGCATGCGTAGATGTAGTCTGTTGGACATCCTAAAAGTATAATAGTATGAGATGAGCCCTTATAAACGTTCTACCATAAAAAGGATAAATCTTACCACGGACAAATACAATTACTTTGAAAAAGATTGATTTCAGTTGTTTAATGTCATTAGATTACCTGTTTATTTGCAAGATTCAGATGAAATTTATTGGCACCCAAACAAGACGTGGAAAAACCATACTGATAAAATTTCACCCCACTCTCTCTATCAAAGAAACCTTCCCAGTGTGCAAATAGTTCTAAATCTGGCTGAAAGTCTACTTCCGGTGTTCCATATTTACCGTCATGCACCATCCCTTGGTGGGGTGGACTAGCATCAATTGTTATCTGAAATTAAACGAGATTATAACGTAAAGACGCAATTAATAATTGATATATACCAGATGTAACTCTATATAGTGATGTAGGTCTATATAGTTAGTTTGATAAATGCAACATGCCAATGCTCCTTGACAAATTAAATTATTCTAAATAAAAAAAGGCAGTCACCCTACAAAGGTAAATTTGTTGTCATAATATATTCATATCAATGTAACAATGTTTATTTATCACGTAATCATAATAAATCCAAACAAATCTTGCATGGAGCAAGGAAGAATGTAAAGTGTGAAACCTTGTAGAGTATTTTTTAAAAATCCAAACACATCCAATAATAAATCCAAAATGAAGCAAAGAAGAATGTAGAGTGTGAAACATTATTATGTATATTTGTGGTTAAAACTCCATATTGAAAATCTAATACATGCCTGTTTAGTTAGAGTTGTTTTTAATTTAGCTTGGTTCATCACAGTAACCACGATACGATAATCATGATCATGCGTACCAGTATTTTTATTGTTTAAGATGCCTTCTCCTGGTGTAGCAGTAGTAGGTGGTTTTATTTGAAAATGGCGATGATAACATGTGCTAGTAGGAATGCAATAACAATTGGCTCCTCTGGTATTATTAGAATATTTACTTTGGCATTCTCTAATGTTCTGAAAGATAAAATCAATACAAAGTTATTAATAGTAGTCACGGAGGACGGGTGCATAAGGAGTTGTCTCCCCTGTTGCACTGTGGGATTGCGGCCCCCTCCCCTCTTTTTAACTAATATTTTGAAGTACAAAATATTGTTTAATCTTTTATGTAGAGTAAAGAATTTAATAAGCAATTCGCGAGAAGATATTCACGCAGTTTCCCCATTGGTATATAAAACCTTTTCTTCATTATCGCATACTTACCGTTGTTTGGCCTTGCGGTGGAATACGCTGAGATCCATGTTCTACTTCAGTTAAATGATCCAATATCTTCCATTGTACCGTCTCTATTCCACTATGATCATCAAAGGCTATCCATTCTATGCTGTAAATTATATGACATTATACTATCACTATTACCTATCCTATAAGGTAACAATGTTCTGCATTATATAATATCAATACATGTATGCCGACAACTTCAAAAAGAAACAGGGGCCTGTTTCACGAAATTTTAACTAAGATAAAATCCACATTTTAGTAATTTGATTGGATAATATTAGGTTGATTTTAGCGCTTAGCCAATCAAAATTGAAGTATCTACTTAAAATTGGATTTTATCTTTAGTTAAGATTTCGAGAAACAGGACCCAGGATAAACTGAATGACAAAATACAAAATGTAAAGGAGGTATTCTACATGTAAG